GCGGTCGACTCTGAGGATCCCCTGCGGCCTAGTGGAAATACCCTGTAAGTTTCAAAAATCTCACGCCTGGCTCAGCAAATCATGCAAGCGATAAGAAACTAGTTAAATACATTAATAGAAAGTAAAAATCCTTTAAGAAATCGCGTAAAGGGACTCCGTACGCGAAAAGCCGAACGGCCCAGTGCGTACGCGTACGCCTCGGACCCTAAGTCCGCAATAGTGGCACACAAGTTATCAGGGCCTCAGACCTGCTGATAACTTTCAAAGTGGACATTAACTTCCGAGCGAGAAAATACATAGTCCGCCATTTTCCTTCCTCAAGGCCCTACGCTGACTTTTGTATTTTCCTTCATCCACAGCCGCATTTTTAAATAGCCCGCTAGCCAGTGGATTTCACAGCAGGACCGGTCGAATTGCCCACACTCCAGCGATTAGCCGACAAAACAATAATGATTTGTGATTTATAAATTACACCCACTCTTACTATAACAATGGTTTGGTACCTTTAAAGCAACCTATCGTACGCGTATGCATATGGATCCGGGGCAGTGGAAACACCTGTCCACTAGCCGCACACTAAGTCCACATTAAAAATAATGTTTAAAAATGCGGCGAAGTGGAAACACCCTGAAAGCCATACACGACTCAGAGTCGTACTGATCAAAGCCAATCCATACCTATTCGGTAACGAACACAAACCCCTTACATTACTTTGATAGGGTATTATAAAGAGTGGTTACGTGTACGTAGCTTAGCTATCCATTTTGGAATTACTTGAAGCCGCCGACCTTTTCACGTGTGCACACTCCGTGCTCATGGATGTTTTAGAAGACTACGTTTCTCCTCCATCTCTCCCTAGGCCTCTTGATGGCAGCCCGGGCGTTACGGCGGTAGCCCGCGCCAATGGCATCAGTGGTCCAGTCGCCCACAAACTTAGGAACTATCTACGGCAGAAGGCTCTGAAGATGGACGCGTTCATTGCGGAATTAGTGAAGGCGTCCGAGTACTGCGGCGCCAAGCACGTGCAAGAGGCGCTGGTGACCACACTTGGCATCGACGCCTTGGAGTCGATCACACTCCTTCGTGTTCTTGTCCCCAAGGACAACAACGAGCGCCGGAACAGGTAAGGAATAAGGGTATGCAGAACGGGGGGCAACAGACTAAGCTTTTGATAAAGAAAGGTAACGGATACCCTGGGGGGGGGGTTTCACACATGTAATCTCCGTCTAAGGCTATCTGTCAGTATGCGCTGGCTATCTTGTGATACTCTGCAACTCTGTCACGATGTTATTTCAACACTTGCCATTCATTCCGTTCTCACTGACATGTCATGCAGTAACGCCTCATCTGTAACTGAGCCTTCCACAACCAAGCAAGTGGCCAAGCACTTGTCCTCCACCATACCATTGAAGTACCAGGTGGTCGTTAAGAAGGTTGCGAAGCCCGACGCCATCAAGATAAACAAGTGGTACACGTGCGGGTAGGTACAACATAGATTGATGTAGTAGACATGGGTACTTTTCTGCGCAAGATCACATAATGCTGGCACATTCTCAGGTTCCTTATCCTTGGGGTTACCTGAGACACCCTGTCGTCCGCACTGGCGAAGAAGGACAAGCTTAAGGGTGCAGTGAAGGACACAACCGACGTTGTTGACCTTAAGAAGTTGGGGAAGCGGTGGATGGCGGCGCTCTTCCGGTCACTGACTGGAGACAGCCTCTCAAAGGTTCAGCAGGAAGACAAGGCTACGTACGACGGTGTCTATGACGCCTTGAAGGCGAAGCTGCAGAACGCGATGGTCAACCATCAGTCAGGTAGAAAGGGTGATGTTTCGGAAACCAAACGATATTCAATCAAACTGTGCGTTACACCTCACACTCCCACAGTGCTGATCTTTACGTTAGGGTTTGAGTAACCCGCGTTTTGGATGCCGATGCATGCAGAGAAGAAGAAGTCGGACTCCTTTAAGGCCATCGGACTGACGACTGCAGACAAGGCTAAGCTCGAGACCGTGGCGACCATGGACGCCGTCAGTGCGACCGAGCTCTTTAAGGAGTGGGTGACTGCCCATGTCGAGGGCAGCACTCAGCCAGCAGGTAATGCATGCAAAGAAAAAACGTGGACGTTTCCTCAACCTCAAGACGACCTCAACCTCACTTGCAATCTGTGCCTCCGTGTTCTCTTTTGCAGGTCAGGAACGCAAGAAGAGCAACCACACGGCTGCAACTGAGGGTAAGTGAACGCCACTGCTCAGTAAAAGCTAAATACCCACGCGTTGTTACTAAGTTCAGACATGAAGGTCATGTACATTAACTACTTGAAACTTCCCTGTCATGCAATTCATCATGTTGCTTGTATCCCTTCCTAACTTCACAACAAAATGTATAACCCCCCAGGCCAGGCCAACGTTATGGAGACGCAGCAGGAGCCCCTCGGCCAGAAGAGCAGCCGCCAGGATGGGGATGAGGGAGATGATGGGGACTACAGCAGGGAGGACGAGGGCAGGGAAGACGAGGGCGAGGGCGGGGAGGACGACGGCTAGGGCGGGGAGGACGAGGGCGAGGGCGAGGGCGCGGAGGATGAGGGCGGGGAGGATGAGGGTGGGGAGGACGGGGACTGGCCGTACGAGAGCGGGGATTACATGGGCGGGGAGGACGAGGACTGGGAGGACGAGGGAGGGGAGGATGAGGGAGGGGAGGATGACGAGGGGACGGGGGGCAAAGTCCTGCTCGAGGAGTACGGCAGAAGCAAGAGCCAGAAGGTCCACAGCAAGTCCGTGCCTCAACCAACTGGGCGCCGCAAGGTCCTGGTGACCGGAAAACCTGACAAAGGTAAATTGTAGCTTCAACATGACAATAAATTACGACTACACACGGAACTTACTAACAACAAGGCAATAAATTACGACTACACATAAAAATTAATTTATGAATCACTCTCACTTTTTGTAGGGGCATTGGATGCCAGAGGGCGGCCCACGCGCCTGAGGCAACCCTCGGCTAAGGCTCGGGAGAGCCAAGAAACGGTGGCCATGGTGGTGCCTGCTCGAACCAAGCGTCCACGCCCTAAGGAAACCCCACTGGTGTTGCCGGAGGACCCTTCGGCTTTCGGGGCCACAGCGTCAAACCCCGCAAAGAGGAAGGAATCGTTTGGTGTCGGTAAAGGCCGAGCTGTACAGACCCGCGGGGCTAAGGTGCAGCAGGAGAAGGGCAAGAAGGGAGCCATGGCAGAGATTCGGAAGGGGGGGCTGAAGAAGCAGCGGAGGTAGCAGACCGCGGGCAGTGATCAGGAACCTGGAGGGCGCCTGTAGTTTCAAGTGATTCTTAATGTTGAGTAAAGAAGGGCCTATAGTCCTCGTGGTACCGATTGAGAGATGTGAGCAGGTTGTAGTAGGCCATTGGGCAATGCTTTGTGTAGGATAATATGAACCCGCTATGAAGCTGGTAATCGCTGTTTAATGCGTAATGGTCGGTTAACGTCCTGATAATATCTATGTTATTGCCCCATTACCGGGGACATTCTTGTAACTGGCCGCCTGATAAACGACCTGGTAAACACCCGATAATGCTGCCTGATTACCGGGTAACTGACCGATTACCGACCCTAGCCTTGTAACTGGCCGCCCGATAAACGACCCTGGTAAACCACCCTGGTAATGGAGCCTGATTACGGGTAACTGGCCGATTAACGACCCTAGCCCGTTAACAGCCCAGTAACCTTATAGCCTGGTAATCGAGGCCGGTTACCAGGCGTTCCCATTATCGGGCCAATAACATGCGGTAGGGCTTCGCAAAATTTCGCAAACATTCCTCGTTCACCGGCAGGCGCCCTAAGTGCTACGAAGGTCGTAACACATCCAGCTTCAGAAGAATAGCATGTAGACGTGTTGTTGGACTGCCACTGAACAAAATCTTAAACAAACGGACCTTCGTCGAACTCTCGACCATCAGAAACTGTCATGTCGCGAAGGCGCTTGTCTCAATAACCACTTGTTAGCACGTGTCATTAGCTCACTGTTAAGAAATCTTTCTCATTTCGCTTCCTACCACGTTTCAACTATACCACGTCTGCCACCGCCGCCGCCATGGAGCCAGCAGTGGAATTATTTACCCGCTTATTTACGGCCGCGCTGGCAGCGATTACGAATTGGCGACAGAATCAGAATGTGGCGAAGATGCTCGTCTTCAAGCTTGCCTGCTGCATTGCCTCCCTTCCTTCACATCCACGGGTGAAACTCGTCTTTCAAGGGCATCACGGTCTGGCACCAGTCGATGCGTCCCCAACAAGCATATATGATATGGAATTCGAAGATGGCAACGGCAAAGTAAGGACGCTGCTCGTCTTTTTGCTGTCATGAAGCCCGTGACGGGAGACACCTTCCAGGCCTCCTCAATCACAGCTTCCTGTGAGGGAAGCTTCAACCCGCGGATCTCGTTGAGGACGTACAATCTGCCGCCGTCGTGGAGAAGCCTGTTAATTTTTCTCGGTCCGATTTCTTGGTGAGGCCCAACAGGTGCCCCAGCACAGTGACCTGTAGGCAACATTTCAAAGGGAGTAGCCTATATGATGTGTCTCCCGTCCCGGGCTTCATGACAGCAAAAAGACGAGCAGCGTCCTTACTTTGCCGTTGCCATCTTTGAATTCCATATCATATATGCTTGTTGGGGACGCATCGACTGGTGCCAGACCGTGATGCCCTTGAAAGACGAGTTTCACCCGTGGATGTGAAGGAAGGGAGGCAATGAAGCAGGCAAGCTTGAAGACAAGCATCTTCGCCACATTCTGATTCTGTCGCCAATTCGTAATCGCTGCCAGCACGGCCGTAAATAAGCGGGTAAGGTGTATTCATTGTCAAACCTTGTGTAAGGGATGTTGCACTGTCACTGTGTCGTGCCTGAGCATACTTCGTTTTCCTTGTCCATACATGGTGAGCATTGATCCCCGTGATTTGTGATGCTGCCTGCAGGATGGGACGTCACTACCTGGGCCCAGTGGAATACCTGCAGTACATCAGGGAGAACAAGCAGGTGTGGACCATGGTAGGCTATAGTGGCATACAGGAGTACATGTGATGGATGTCTTTACAATTATCCCTTGATACACCCATATGTTTGTATTTATATACAAGCCTGCTATGTAGCCCGAGTGACTGTGTGCCAGAAAGTAGTCTCTTAAGCAGGAGCACGTGGGCACTTATAGAAAGCCTCATTCTTTCTAGTTAAGTGTACACCCCCCCCGCCTGCCTCCCCTAAGAGACACCCGCAGCAGACGCCCCCCTAAACACCCCCATACACAGAGGCACATGCAGATGGTGCAACTGCAGCAGTATCATTTGTTCATGCAGGCCATCCTATCGCACTGGTGGCACCACCGTTCGCAACAGCCTTAACCAGATTCATTCCTGGCCTAATCCGCTGCTTTGATGGTTGTGAAAGGTTGCCTCATGCATGCTTTTCCATCTCCTGAGTTTGTCTCTTTGGACCACTCGTATATGGTGCTGAACCCTCTTGAACCACGTGCATGTCTTAACAAATTCCATGGCCCTCATTCAAACGTTGGCAATGTTTTACTTGTGAACTGCCCATCATTTTGGGTTCGAGTTTTGCTATTGTACGGATCAGCCTGAATCCATATCACTTCCCATAACACAAAGACAATGCATTCAGCGCCTATTATTCTTGTTCAGAACATGCTGCATGTACCCATACTGTGCAGGCACTCTTGGCAGGGGATGCCACCCTGAAGCAACGGAACGAGGTCGGATTTGTGGGCGAGGAGGTGGTGTTATGGGGCTTTGCAAATACCGACATTTACCAGTGTGTACCCGTGGACACACTTCACCAGGACTTCAACGGTATCTCGATGCATCTCATCGAGGCTTTAAAGGCATGTATAGAGGATAAGTGCAAGCAACAGAAGGAGAGAGTGAACTTGAAGATCAGGGGACGGCTTGCCTCATATCGGCGTTTGCATGGTGGGGGTCGGATACCCAAGGAGAGCCTGTGGGCAGAGAAAACATGTGCAGAGGTACGTATGCTTTAAATGTTTGTGTTCCTTAGTTACTGTAAGCATGTATGTCATGCAATACTCCTCAGCAATACAGAAACCTTGCTTGACGAAGGTATAGTGTGACACCAGTAGTGTTTGCTGCCTGCTGTTACCTCCCCAACCAATGGAACATCCTTCCACAGGAGAGAGAGTGCATCATGCGGTTCATGGGCATTGCTCTCCATGACCTTGAGCAACTGGGACTGCCACGTGACATCCCGGAGTTCTTTACAGGTAGGTGCTCATTGTCTGCAGACCCAGCTGGGTGAAGCCATTGCTGTACACACCAACGCTCCTGATGAGGTTCTGTGTTTATATGTGCCGTGTATGTGCCGCTTGCTCCATGCAACCAACCATGCTTCATTGCAGCTTATGGGCGCTACATCCAAGTACGTGACATGCCAAGGCACACGACTGGAAGCCTCGCCTTTCTGGATGACCTAATAGCAAGGTAGGATGAAGGCACGAGTGATGGACAGTCAGATCACTGCTTCGAACAATGTACATGTTACATGTGTCACTCGTGAAGGCTACTACAGATATGAACATGTGTTCATAATACTGCTGTGTTTGCTTGCAGACTGCAGACAGATATGGTACGGCTGTTTGGCCGATACAAGAACTGGGGAAACATCCCCAAGTTCTTTAACATGCTAAAATACACGTGGTGCATCCGGCAATGGGGCATGACTGACTTGACAACGACGGGCCCCAAGGAGAGCTTTGTGAAGACTGTGCGTAAAGCATGGGAATTTACAAACAAGCATCCTGACACCATAGATAAGCAGGCAAGTGTGTACTAATCAATATCAGGGGTGTATTTGCCATCCATATGCAACGCCTAAGATGACTTGTGAGTGACATGCATTCTGTGTGCCACCGCCTTCATCATACAAATCTGGCAGGTTGTGAATAAGCTGGGTGCCATCACTGCTGGGGGGATGGCTGCTGAACACGAGGGTGCAGCAGCAGAGGCAACGGATAAGCACCTGGTATGTGTGCTTGAAGCTATGTATGTGCTGCAGATGTTGCTGTAACCTTCTACGATTTTATATGCCGCTACACGCCTAACCCACGTTGCATGTATCAATGTACCTGTGTACCAGAGAGCACAGGTACTCAGGGACAAGAAACATGCCATCGGCCGGTCAGGTCTCAGCCTTCCTTGGATACAGGCCATGGAAAAGGTTAAGAATCTGCAAGGTCGGTGTATGCAAGCTTGTATTTTCCCAAAATGTTGACCCAATGGCATCACACTATATGCATGTCTTGCATTTTTTTGCAAACAGATGAAGCAGCCTGGGGCATGGAGGGTGCAAAGTACCTGCAGCAGTGCCTTACAGAGCAGCTGGTGGCTGCCTGGGGGGTGTCTGCACAGGATCTGGATCATGCCAAGGTAGGCTCGCTGGTTACATAGGTTCATGATACAGTACTAGCAGGTTTAGCAGTGTTAATTTAGCTAGTTGTTTACTATGCAATGCATGTGAACTTCACACTTGTAGGTTGTCATCAGGCGTATGGGATGTCTTTACTACGCCCCACTTCACACCGTCACTTACATCCGTGGTGGCGGCCTGGCTAAGTCCCTTTTCAAGACCCAGGCATGCCCAGTGTGCGACATTTCAATCCTGAAGGGGGCTATGGTGTGTGGTACGGACGGGTAGGCAAATGGAGGTTTGGTTTCCATTCGTTGTGTGTATGTACTTCAGTTCTCTGGAGTTTGCTCATATGTGCATGGCCCTTGTGTGCAGGTGCAGCTACTGCTCAGCGTGCTCTACAAAGACAAGGTAGCAGATGTGGTGTATGTTAAGTGGTTTGATGCTCCAGAAGATGAATGGAACCGTGAACTGAATCTCCGTCCGCTGCGATGGCAGAGGTAATAAAAGTAGTTTACACACAGTCGTAATTTCAGTTGTATACCTCCCTCTCTTGCACTAACACTAACCATTGATTGTCCACACAACCTCCACTTCCAGGGTGACTGGAAAACCAGCAGCAGCTTATGGGTGTATCCCGTTTGAGTCCATTATCGAGAGAGTGTGCATTGTTCGGATCTTCCAAGTTAAAGTCAAACGTACACGTGGTTCCTCCAGCAGAAGCATGGATGATGTGGAAGAGTCCATGGGCAATGCAGTTCCCACAGCACAATTTGTGCTCAACGAGCTCATCGGCAGCCCACCCCATGGCCTTTTGCCAGTCGTGTTGGAGGATATTGCTGAAGAAGTCAGACAGCAGTCTCAAGAGAGTGAAAAGCGAAGCTTGCGCCCATCAGAAGCGCGGGCACTATTGGACAAGCTTATGGCCATCGAGGAATGGGAGCAATGGGAGTCTGGTTGCGTGTGGTCAAAAGATGATGACACAGATAAAGTTTCATCAGACGAGGCGTAGCAAAGACGTCCTAGATAATAACGACCGGGTAGAGGAGGATTGATCAATTGGGGCTCATGGGAGTAGGAAATGACTGTTTGTCTTGTGCTGATAGTGTCGGAGAATTTATTCTGTTAAGTGTTTTGGTTGTGTTTTGGAGTTGCAGCATTAATAGGCCAGATAACATGTGGATTATTCATTTAGTAAAGCAGACTGAGGGATTGTGGGCTGAGAGCTGAGATTCCTTGTGTGATGTGTGATAGTAACGTATGAAGAATATGTGAAAATTGTAATCCCCTGAGCTTCTATGCATCCCATATATTTCTGTACACAGATGACACATGTAAACAACATCCTGGCAAGTATACAGCATAGCCTAAACAAGGTCAGGTATAGGCTGTCATGTAAACATGAAGGCCTATTATGTGATGCCTATAGCAGTCTTGTAGTAGGCACTCGTGTACACACGCACCTGTATAGGCACTGTTGTTTACAACATCACATGTAGACACATCTGTATACCAGTCATGTTTACCACATAGCCTAAACAAGATCAGGTATAGGCTGTCATGTAAAGGCCATTGCATATTTCGTTATGCCTATAGCGGTCTTGTAATAGGCGCTCATGTACACATGCACCTGTATAGGCACTGTTGTTTACAACATCACCTGTAGACGCATGAATATACCAGGAAAGTATACACTACAGCCTAAACAAGATCAGGTATAGGCTGTCATGTAAAGGCCATTGCATATTTCGTTATGCCTATAGCGGTCTTGTAATAGGCGCTCATGTACACATGCACCTGTATAGGCACTGTTGTTTACAACATCACCTGTAGACGCATGAATATACCAGGAAAGTATACACTACAGCCTAAACAAGGTCAGGTATAGGCTGTCATGTAAAGGCCATTGCATATTACGTGATGCCTATAGCGGTCTTGTAATAGGCGCTCATGTACACACGCAGCTGTATAGGCACTGTTGTTTACAACATCACGTGTACACATATCTGTATAGCTTGGAAGTATACCGCATAGCATAAAGAAGGTCAGGTATTCTACATATATACAGGGTCCTCTATTAGGCAAACATGTACATATGTCCCTCTTTAGGTCTGGGCCTTTATTTCTCGTATAATACGTGTACACCTAACTGGCCTATATACCTTTCACCTATTTTCCAGAATATCTCGCCTATACAATGCCCGAAAAAATACAGACGACCCCATCTGCAGATACTTTGAAGGGTATCTACAATTCTTTGCGGGACTACCACCTTGGGAGCGACTCCAAGCATGTGGACATTGGCCCCAAGCTTACAGGTGCTCTTGCTGCTCAGTGTCGCATGTGGCGAGTATGAGGCCGACCTGGTGTATGTGCGGTGGTTTAATGCCTCCGGTGATGGATGGAATCGTTCCCTGAACTTGCGGCCCCTCGTCTGGTTTAGGTACGTATGGTGGGTGTATCTTATTTTCTTTCTCCCTTCTTTGTTAAGCATGGGTCAAAAGCTTTCTTGCATTCATGCCCAACATTTTGCAGAGCACATGAATGAAGCATGAGGGGCGGGGGCGAAAAGTACTCACAAATGCAGGGTGTTGTCACTGACTATCACTATCACTGACAGCCCCACAAACACTAATCCCACGTTTGCACCCACTCGTGACCCTTGACAGGCGGAGTGGCCAGCCAGCCGCATCATTCGGCTGCATACCGCTGGAGACAGTGCTGCAGCGGGTTTGCATTGTCCGTGTGCCCCCAAAGGGCAAGGGGGCACAGGCACCCAGTGCCAGTGGGAAGGGTGGGAAGTCACGCAGGGTTGCGACTGGCAACAGCAAGGGTGGGCACACAGCTAGCTGCCGAGCTGAACCCTAAGTTTGTCTTGAATGACCTGGTGGGGTTGCCCCCAGATGACCTGATTCCTGTTGTGAGTGAGGAGGTGATGGATGAGGTGAGGCCACGGAAGGATTTGCAGCCCTCGGCGGCTCGGGAAGAGCTTACCAAGCACTCATGGTTTAAGTAGTACTCAGTACTTGCGATGCTGGGATGGGTGGAGCCTGGAAGCGCATGCCTTGTGTATGCCTAAAGGAGACATGGATTTGGATACTGTGGATATTGATGTCGTTGATGACAACCAAGGTTGAGGTTTCATCAGCCAAGGTTGATGACAACCACTGGTTTGCTAGTGTCAATGGCAATGACAAACCTGGACCCGGAACCTGAATAACATGGTGGGTGAAGCCCTGGTGGAAGCTCAGAGAGGAAACGATTTGAGATTGTAACACATGAATAAGGAACGATGCCCGCCATCTACTGCCGTCTAAAAGATAATAGCCTATACCCGACTGTCTATAGACAGTGTCTATATCCGACTTGTCTATAGATAACCGTCTATATCCGCTTCGTCTATAGACGTAATCTATAGACGACCTGTCTATAGACGACTGGGTATAGACGGTCGTCTATGGGTCGTCTATTAGACGGTCGTCTATATCGTCTAAAAAACTCTTCTATAGACGAGCCGTCTAAAACTCAAAATAGTTCGTCTATAGTCACGTGGAAAAATTACAGACGATACAAGATCAATGATTTTAAGTAGGCAACGTTTCAAAGCCAAGCCAAGTTGGGCCCACCATACCAAGCCCAAGCTTGTAAACCAACATACCTGTCCTCAATCTCCTTCTTCAACTTCAGCGCATGTTGCAGACCCGCAAGCAGCTGCCGAGCCAGGCCCTCCTCCTTTTTCCGATGGCGATCGCGCACCTACATAAAGAGGACACCGCTACTTTCCATCCATGCAAAAACACTATTCATGCTGTAATCACCCAGATTTAAACTCACCAGCCCGTTGATGAAGTCCTGGCGTGCAGCTGGGGACATATACGCCGTGATGTACCAGTGTCTCCGAATGTCTGCCCAAAGGTGCTCGATTAGGTCCCCGAATGTGAGCCCCAGTCCAGGCATGTAGCGTGAGTTGTAGCGGACATTGCACTCAGGCTTGTGTGGTCGGATGTGCCATGGTCCGATGGCGAAGGGCAGACCAGCAGGCAAGTCCAGCTCCTCATAGATCCTGTGGAAAACAAGGCAACAGATATTCAGCTTCTTCACAGGGGAAAAGCTTAACTCAAGTTAAAATCTGAAAGGGACTAAACTCCCAACCCCTGACCAACCCCAGGGATGGATATAAAATGGAGACCTCAGCCTGTCAACTCAGGTTAACTTGAGCATGTGCACATTGTGTCCCCAGAAAGCTCACCTCTTGTAGTAGCCCTCAAACTTGCACGCGACATCCAGGAACACTGCCTTGACAGATGCCAGATCCATTCTCTGCTTCAGAGCTTCCAGCAGCACCTCGTAGTACACAAAGTTCTCCTCTGTATGCAGGCTCACCATGGCCGGGACGAAGCCATGCCTGCAAGCAAATGCTGCGACACCAAGGCGATCATAGTTTGCAGCACGCCGCCCGAAGACCTTGGCAGCTTTGAACTCAGAGCAAGAAACAGCATCTGGGTCCGCCATCTTTCCACGCTGCTTCAGGCGCTCCATCACCAACTTCTCCGAGATAAACAAATCACCAGCCGCGAGGGGTTGCAGGTCGAGGGAGCCACTGGCCGCAGCCTTAAAGCGCCGAAGGCCCAGGCATGCGTCACCTGACACAGCAACACACTGCCGCCAGCAAGCAGGGCAGTCCATCCAGCGGCCACCGCCAGCTGCTGCTACTGCACCAGCAGCAGCATCCGAGGTACTGGCTCCTCTGGTGGCATTGCAAGGCTCCAAGGCAAGGATGTCATCTACACCCAGGAGCTCACAGGTTCGCATCAGGCTCTGTACCCTGTCCCAATGGGCGGCCGCGGTTCCAATTGCATCTGCGATGCCTGCTGGGGTGGGAAGCCCATTAACCGCGTGTTGACGCTGGAGCATCTTGGAGTATGCTGAGGCTGAGCATGGACTCTCTGCACGCAGGAAGCAGACCTGCTGCATCAGCCCCCAGTCAAACCAGGCGACGGGCCGGTCTGGTGTGCTTGGAAAGCACCCAATCTCCAGAGGGTGGATTTGCCGAACAAATGGCAGCTGGGCTGGGCAGTGGCGGCACCTGAAGCATGGATATGGTGCTTCGATGCTCCCCTGCACTGTCACAAAGCGGACGGTCTCCCCGGAAGCTGTCTGGGTGGATGGTGCTGTGGGTGGACCCTCACGCTCTGCCCAGTCCGCTGTCAGGCACTGCGGACACAGCTCTGGAAGCCGGTCCCGTACCCGCGCATCAAATTCAGCTTCCAGGTAGGCCTGTAGGCGGGCTGCTGAGCCTGCGGCACCTCGGCCAAAGTAGGCAAAGCCGTAGAGGCCGAAGTTGAAGTATGACCGCTGCCAGTTGGCATGCCGTCGGGCGTTTGCCTCCTCAACAGTTCCCCTACGAGAACCCGCCTGGGGTTGTGGACGGGGTGGTTGCTGCTGCCGATGTTGGTTGACATCAGGCTCGTCAAACCCGTCAAGAGATGGTAGCTGCTCGTTGTTGTCCTCAATGGTTGGAGCGGGCAGATCGGGATCAGCGTTTCCAGAAGACTTAGCTGCTGCGGCACGCGCTGCTGCATTGGCAGCGGTTGAGCGACTGAGTTCCTCATAATACTCCCTGCCGGGACGCTTCCGAGGCCGCTTGGGCGGTCGGGGCCTTACCCAATCATCAAGCGTATCTTTTTTTTTTGCACAGGCCGGGCTACCCCCAGTGGATTGTCAGCACGGGTTCTATGAGAACGGGAGGTCCTTGAAGGGTTGAGTAGTTGCTCCGCGATAGAACGATAACGTCTGGACATCCCCCCTAAATTTTCTGCCTCCAAGCGCATACTGTATGTACGCAAACAACGCGTTTGTAATTATTACTATTATAATAGTAGAAATCAAGTTAGGGTTGCTGGGGTACTATTATTTTGCCGTGCGACAAGCCTGAAGATTCAAAAAGCGCGTGCACAGGAGAACTTCTTAAGAACAACCTATTCGTACTCCAATTGATTATTTGCTGCAATGGCGTGTTAGGTGCAACGCCATTTTTCCACTCAGTGAGTGGACATTGGTCCCACTACAGGAGTGGACGTACATTCGCAGGGTGAGTTGAGTGCGCAATCTTAAATAAGCACCAAGCGGCGGGCAGCAGCAGGCCGGGCCATTTAGCTTGAAAGGATTGGGTTAGTAAATATCAAAGAGCTTATTCAATTCGTTGACATTGCTGCGAGACTCGCTGCTGGGCGAGTGTCAGGGAAACATTTCCCGCAAAAACCACTGCTGCAGCATGTGCGGCATCCCAACAGCTCAGCTTAGGTTGCAACTGTTGTAAACTTGCGAGCTGCTCTGTGCATTACTTTATACAGCTCGGAGCGTGGTCTGCACTCCTTATTGCAAGCAAATGAGGAATGCGGCTTCCAGCCGCCATATAAAGGAACCAAAGCACGATTCCATAAAAGGACAACACCAGAGATGTCTGACTGGAGTCACGTCTAGTTCACGACAGCGAAACTGTAATTTTTACTTTTCTAAACATGTACTCGGGCCGTTCATATCAGTGAGCACAAAAGAACCGCAAGGGGTCCCTCGCACCGTGTTTTGTTATCGCTCCGTTAAAATGATTTTATGATAGAATAGATCCAAGTTAAGCAAACCTCATGAGTGAATTTCATGGAAATAATGGAGGTAGGGAAGCATTGCTCAATCCCGTCGTCGAAACCCTTTGCGGCGAAGTCGTAATACGCTGACGCTCGACTGGACGACAAACTTTATGATCGGGAAGCCTCCCTTAGACAACTGCTGATGATTGCTGCTGCTTTGGGTATATGATGGAAGCAGGTAAAGGCTAGTAAAAGGCCGATGCAGGAGTTACAAGAGCGCGGCGGCGTTTTCTTATCTGTGGTATCAGCATTGGGGGAAAGCAGTGTAGGTGGCGTAAGGCCGAAGGAAAGCCCTAAGGATAAGGGCATGGTGAGACCTGGAGCACCGACTGCATCGCGTGACAACCGGCCCCCGCTATGCCGCACATATTCGTGAGGCTGGCGGTGCCCGTCATGCCACTCGAGGTTTTGTCGATGCTACAGTCGTGACGCGACGGCAAAATGGTAGAAACTGCTGGAGCTCGGAGTGCATACCACCACCACGAAAGGCTGTCCAGTGAGTGGGGACGGAACCGCAGCAGCTGCACGGCCAAGAGCTGGTGGTGTGTGGGAAATTGGCTTGCATGCAGCCATGTGTGAGGTGCGTGCTGCATGGCAGCATCAGCAGCACCGTAAGGGCTGGTCTTCACCACTACACCAGCCTCCACATCGGTATCCTAAACATGGCACATGGCGTGTCAGCTTTTGGCCATTTCGAGAAGATGCCGAATGGCCACGCCCAGCTCAGGATGATAAGAACGAGAGCTAAATGTTAAAGACACGCAAATGCGTAGCAGCCACAGCGAGAGGGCCTTTACTTTGGGCATTTCCTAAACCTTCTGAAGCGCCTGACGTGCTGTAGCAGTCGCGTCCTGTGGTCTTTTGCAGGAACTGCTTATGTAGGTAATAATCATTTTATACAACGAATATTTTTAGGCTACAAAACGGCCATTGCAGATGTTACCATGTGGCTAATGATAAGGGAATTTCCCGTAAGGAGTTCTTTATCATATGCATCCCAAGCTAAGGAACTTTATATTTGTTGTTGCTCCAGACCATGTATCAAATGTTGCACTCAACAACGGTTATGCTTATTGCACCAGCTAAGTAGCCATTTTTCCTGCAGGAAACTGGGTAGACCAAATCGCGAAGTGTTCCTTCTCGCGTCTTGTCGCGTCCACCCAAACTCGCCAAACGGAGCTAATATCCTTCCTTCTGGCTTCTGGTACCTCGTTACATGTAGTAACGGAAAACCTAGAAAGGAAACTGTATAAGTCCCAGGAAAAACGAACTCGATTTCGATTTCGATTATCATTTCGATTCATAATAGAGCTGGTAAGAATGTAGGCTATAAAGTACTCCCTAGCTAATTGAAATTCGCACATTTCTGGCTTGAGAAGGCTAATGACACCGTCGGCGAGCGACTGGCAATGACTAAATGCTTCAAAGCTCAACAGTACAGATGAACCCTTAGAGAACCAGTACTATGTTTTCTTCGCGCGCACTGATCCTCTGCTGCTCCAACCGAGTTTCTCTTTGTTGTTACGCTAGCAGCCGCGGCGCGCCACGGCGGAGGGACGCCGGCCGGTGTCTTTTGCAGTTTAAATGTCGCCAACCCATATGAGAAGAGGCTTCAAGCCACACGCTGCATGTGTTTTTAAGTATATAGACATATGAAGCTCTGTGAAGGTTGAAGGACATCATTCCAGACCCTTCCAGACGCACAACTTCATAACGATCTTCTTTAACAGCTTCTCCTGCAACGCAGTTCTTCCCAGTTTTTTTCGTTTATTTGAGTGTACTTGTGTGAAAAGTGACGTGCCCGCTGGGAAAGTAGTTCGTTCAACCTCGTGACCTGTCGTAAAACATTACCAATGGGCGTCCTTAACCGGTCCGACAATTCAGTCAACACCAACCTTATATTGTAAAATAGTTATGTCATTTCGCATGTCCTGTTTAGAAACTCGGCCGAATATTACGCCTGCGAATTTGCCACTCCGCGCAGTCCCTCGATTACGACAAACTTCACACTTCCAGCAAATCGCGCTACCCCGATAGCGCTGTACCAGATGCGAAATGGTCAAACAAAGCAAAATTCTGGAGTTGTACTTGACTGGCTGCTGTACAAGGGTCTGGACTCATCCAGACGGAAAACAGCCTGGTTGAAACGAAACGAAGATAGCGGGTTTCGTTGAGGGAAGACTTGTTGTGAATTAGGCTTTTATATCAAGACTGTTTGGTAATGATTACTACTATTAGTATGGCTCTTCTGGAAGCCAAACGACTGGGCACTTTCCTTTAATTTATTAACCTGCCCACAAAGTTTGTTGATGTAACCTGCAGCTGCTAATTGCTTACCAGCCCCACCCGTTCGTCAGCAGACAGAGGGACGGCGAGGGCTAATTGCGGGAAGAACAGCTCCTTCTTTCCCGGCAACAGCAATTTGCCTCGCTATCGAATACTCTTGGGACCCCGCGATACTGCCGCCTTTACTGCACTTTTCGCAGCTCCAATACATCATATAAACTTGAGTTTGCTGGGTCACTCGTTGCTTGACGTTGCTTGCACACAACATGGTCAGACGGCGGGGGCGCCGATTTTGCATAGACTGGAAAAATAAGACGACAACGTCCACTGTCAAATTTGAAGAGGGTCATGATCTGGAGCCTTGCCTGTGGCATCCGGCGTGTCTGCACGTCACAGTGGTGCTTCTACGTGCTTCGTACATGGCGTCTAATGGAAATCGCGTTCCTTGCGGTTGTAAAAAGAGGCTCAATTAGGTTGTCTCTATCGTCGTTAATATTTAAAAAGTATTCTTGGCGCCACCACGGGGGGTTGGTTTGTGGCGCTTATATAGATTTGTCCAAAAGTTCGTTAGCGCGCATCGTCAGCAGTTGCCGTAGACGTGCAACTCGATACGTAAAATGGTACAGCGAGCCGCGGTAAAGCAGTAGTATGTTTTTATTTTGACGTAATTTAACGGGGTGCTATATTTGTACATGATTTGACTGTGTCATTTGTTAAGCAAGGCGACCAAGGTAGAGGGTAAGCTTCGAGTTACTCGGAGAAATCGCGAATTGTGCTTAGACTTTGCCATGTATGTGCGCAGGTTCCTGATCCACCAAGAGATTTCGCGATTGAGCCTCTTAAATGGTACCGGTGCATGCATGAACGTCAGTAACGTCACCGTTTCCTGCCTGCTTGGCGCGCTGCCTGATTCCTTAAGGAAAAGGCGCCCAGTAAATGATCAGCAAACTGATTTTACGACATCTGACGACAGCATTGCTTGCAGTGTTGGTTTCTTCCGCAGAAGGATCTCGCGGTCGAGGTAGGTTCACCGCGTTTTCACAGCTGCCACTCGGTAACCGCAATGAAGAAGCTATTCACATAGTCATTTTTACTTCCTATAAAATTAGAAAAAAAATATCAGGGTGAAGAACGGGAGCGGCGCTCTTTGCCATTGCAATTACAGTTTCCTGGTGAGCGACGGAACATTCCAAACGGTACCGGAGTTGCGCAGAATGACGGTACCAACAACCCGCGCTTCCCGCTAAAACTTAATGACATACAGACGCGTCACCTTGACAGTTCTACGGAAGCGGACATAAGCCGAGTACTGTTCACAGTTCCCATACCGTTAGGTGCTAGGTCGATTATGTCATCCGACGGGTTTTCCGTTATCGAAAACCCTCTCCTCACGTCCCCCCCTCCCGCCCCCCCGCTCCTGCGGACGTGCCCATGTAGTCACGGCCAATACCTTATGCCCGGCTCGCATACCATGGTCCCAAGCAGGAAAGCAGATATTGTCGAAATGAAAACACAGGATTCTCTAGGTTAAGGAATAAACCTATATATCTAGTTCCCATATTAACACCACCTGCGTGTGGATGAAATGCTGGGTCTGGTTTAGTGCAAGAGGTAGGACCTGGCGTCTGTAATGAAGAGGAAAGGATGAATCGTTGGAATGGCTGCTAGACGGTCCTTTTGCGTCCAGTTCCCTGTCATCATCGCCGCTCTTTTACCCACACCTCGCTGTCCCCCTTCCCGCCCCTTCTCGCTCCTCACTCCTCCACGCTGTCGCTCCTCACTCCTCCACGCCGTCGCTCCTCGCTCCTCCTCCTCGTCCCCCCCAGGTGCCCCCTCCTCGGAATGTCCCCTCGTCACCGGATATGAGTTCCACCGCAAGCAGGAGGCGGCCAGCGTGCTCATCCTCGGCACATCTGCCGCCTCTTCGCCTGACAGCATCGCTGAGGAATGTGGAAACACGAGGTTCTGTAACGCCTTCACTGCCGCCGGTGACCTGCTGTCCGTCCCCATGTTCCCCGTGTTCACTGACATGGAGGGGGACGGCAGCGCTGCTGACGTGAAGCCATGTGACGGCACCTACCTCTCCAAGCGAACTCTTTCAGGCCTGCGCCTGCCCGTAAGTTTGCCCCTACTTGGTCGGTTTCCAGTACAGGTTGTCTAGGACAAACGGCGGTCTGTCCTAGGTCTAATAGGAAAGAGACTTTCCTATCACACCTGCCGTGCATGGGATTGAGACCTAGCCGTGCACAAAATCCAGCACAAAATCAAACAAGCTAACACATATCCACCCAGATAGGACATTTCTTCGAAAGGAAACTCTGAAAACCAACTCTGAAAAGCATGGATTCTTGTCCCCAGGAGGCCCCGGTGGTTTTCAGACGCATTGATGTACATCTCAATCTGTCCATCTGCTCAGATGTGCACAAGCGTCGTCGAGAGATGCTACAGCCATATGACGTGACAATGCCGGCTGTCACAAAGTTAATTTAATGATTGCGTCACCGGTCATCTGTCGTGACTTCACTCCTGGTGTGAGTGCATCTAATACATAAAACCTATTCCGTACACACAGGCCGACATGAAGCTGGAGGCTTTGCGCCGGGTGGGCGCTGAAAAGGCCAGGAATCTCCGGGCCGCCGTAGCCGCAGCCAAAAGGGTGCGTAGACGGGTGGATGGGTGGTCATCTTGTTGTCCTGGTGGCGCCTGCAGCTGCACTAGCAGAGCTTGCAACGGGCTAGGTGTGCAGCGGGCGGCTGTGGACCTTTAAGGAATGTGTCTATCTGTAAGCCTGATTCCTAGGCCGCTGTCAAAGACACGTGTCCTGCGACATCATACTGTAACGGTAACGGTAACGGTAGCTGTAGCTGTAGCTGTAGCTGTGTGACGACGCATTCCCGCAGTCCTATGCCTACCTGGTAACGGTAACGGTAACGGTAGCTGTAGCTGTAGCTGTAGCTGTGCGACTACACGTCACCGCTCAAACGCCTAAGGTGAGGAGCGGTCCCTTCAGTGTTGTGCTGCTAGCGTTGATGAAATGAACCCCTTTGGTTCATTCCCGAAGGGGAACCCCTTTGTTTCAATCGACCTAACGGAGGGTGTATCGGCTCTCGACTCTGTGGAGTTTTTATGGTCTGTAGACAGGTTCATCGTAAAATGGGTAGGACGGAGAAGTCAATCGTACATAGATTCGTGATATATAGCTTGGTCTATAGATCGTGCCATGGCATTGTGGTAGATAGGTCTGTAAAGGGATGGGTGATAGGCACTCTTCAATTCTACAGACGCTCCCGCACACGCACACACCCACACACCGACATACCGACATACCGACATACATATAGGTCAGGCACTACTGGTAAAGCACATACTGATGCCCCCGGAGGTTCCGGGATCGAGATCTGTCAGGGTCGAAAAGTCCTTCCGATGGTGGAAGGTTTAAAGTGCCCATAGTCGATGGACGGTGGTGACCTGGAATAAACTTGACCTGCGAGCTGACCAGGAAAGGAGTTGAGCCGCCGTTGATCCGGCAGATTCCGTTGGATGCTGGTGGTGGGTGCGGAACCTGAGCGATCCACTGAGAAGTTGACTAGGGTGACTAGATGAGGGTGCCCCGAAACACCGGGGAAGGCAGGGTCTGCCAGGTGGCGGCCGCAGGGTGAAGATATGACCCCCCTGTTCCACACATCATACACACAGACACACAGACACACAGAGCCGTGAATGCCCAAGCAGCCTCGCCCGGGGTCTGTATGTGCAATAGCTGGCCGCTGAAAAGGCCTCACAAGATGCTCGCAGAGATGAAAGAATGCCGGATATACGTGTATCACCATCTGCACTACACATGATCTACGCCGACAGGCAACCCATGCACCTGACACACTTGCCCTGAGCCCCTCACGAGCCCTGCGTACGTACAAGCATTCCAGCAAGTCCATGAAGGCTTTCTCGCTTGGCCCAACCGCAGGTAGCTGCAAAGCTGAGGATGAAAAATCGTAATCCTCGCACCGCCTATCGCCTCCCCGCGGAGGAGGTTAGGAGCGCTTTTATCGCAGCACAGGCAAGTTTGCAAGCGTCCATCCACTGCTGCTTGCTTCATTGCCTGTGGGAAGGTGGAAATTTGTGGCGCATGCTTGCGGGCAGTTGGGCGGGGATTTGGCAGGTGACCAGCCGCTTTCGACTTTGTGTTTTGTGGGCTGAGCGCTCGGCGGCTCGCATGCATGGGTGGGCCAACGTGGTTGCACGGTACGGCAACCTGGGAACCTATGCATCCATGACTGTTCGCTGTTCGGTCATTACATTCACCCGACGCCTACTGGCAGTTACGTGAGAAAGGACTTCCCGATTCCTGACAGCCGTATCCGCACATGCCGCCGGTTGGCGAAAGCGTCTCTCGCGTGTTGTTAAGGATGGCCGGGCCAGCTGATGGGGAGGCTCAAATGCACGTTTTAAGAGCTATATGAGCTCTGTAAAACGTTTGATCGTCTTTAGAACGCACGCCTGTGGTATAATAGGGTGGACGGTACCTATCTAACATGCCATAGGCACAATCTCTACGTGACCAAATTTATTACATACGAGGACTCCGTCACAAAGGGCTTTGAACGGGGTTTTACAGCGGGTTGCGCGAACCAGGCTTTGTGTGTCATGTAGGATGGAAGACGGTGGCACTCCACGCCCATGCCCCGTTAGGTTGCACACCTTTTTGGCAGTTTTTCGGTCAGCAGTCGTAATTTTCGTTGGTCAGCCAGGTAGCAGCCGTTGGCCAGCAGCACACCAGCGCAGCGGCATACCATACCATGTAGCACGTGTTATAACATCCTCCTTCACTTCTTTTATACATCTTGCACCCTGTGACTCGTTCAGACGGCGCTGGATCAGTCGAGTGTCACAGCCGGATCCTACATGTACGACGACGTACTGGATGCGCTGTCGTACCCGGAATGGGACTCCCGTTTCAGCGGTCCTTTCAACTTCGTCAGCCCCGTCAAGGACCAGGGGGGTTGCGGCGCGTGTGTTGCCTTCGCCGCCGCGGGCATGGCGGAGGCATTGATAGCGACAGTTAACAACGCCTCCGCGTACGACATTGACTTGTCAGAGCATTGGTGCGTGCAGAGGGATCCCTGAACATCTGCGTAATAAAACGGTTGGCACACGTGCGCTGCGCACATGTTCCAACACCAACATGCAAGTGATGAGCTAATACAGTGTTTGGGTTGTGCGGGGGGGGCCTTCTGCGGGGATCTGTTGAGTCACTCCGACTGTGACCTCACTCCGCTTTCATCATTGATGGATGTGAGTGGTTCTGCGTTTTGTGTGAATTCCGATATATGTACGGCATCAACCACCGAACCACCTGCTGCCTTCTTGTTATTGCTGCATCAGCAGCAGCAGCCGGCACCGTCGCAACCCCCTTGGCGGCGTGTTGCCCATCATCAGCACCCCAACACATGCTCTACTCCTGATACTGCGTTTGCTAAGCTGCATTAGGAATGCAGCTGTTGACTCTATATATCAATGCTGCTGATGCCAGTTTTTTTCTAGTTGCAAAGAAACCTGCGTGAAAGCCCTAAGAATGAGACTTGAACTGGCTTCCATGCACGCACCCTGACTTGTCGCCGCTGCCGTCGCCAGGCTGTTCTTCTGCAGCACTTCGTCAGGACCCCTGTGTGAGGAAGGCTGGTACGCCTCATCCGCTGTTACCGTCATAGCGAACCAAAGCATACCGTTTGAGTTCAACTATCCATACCGGCCAGACGCACCCTCTTGTAAGCTCCTTTCGCCACCTGAACGGAGGCCAGGCGGGGTCTTCAAATACATCTACATCACTGATCTCACTGCGGTGCGTTCTTCGCGCATGGCGTCTAGAAGTCCATTTTGTTGTTTTGCAAATGAAATCATCACCATCATTCGTTTGAAGTGTTCGTCCGGGCCTCATCCATTCCTAATGATGGCGCTTTCGCACATCCACTGTACAGCTGGCCGCTGCTGAAAAGGCCTCTCAAGATGCTGGCAGAGCGCCTTAACGCGCTTATGTATTGCTAGACGTCATGTGTGCCGCCGTACTCTGTACCACAGCTAATACACACACACGCATCCATCACTTCGCCGTGTTCATCCGTATGGGATGTGTGTACGACCATTACTATGTGTATGCGTACATAGACACATAACTCGTGTCCCGCCTGCCCCGCTTACACTGACCGCCACAGGCTAAGCAGCACATCCGTACGTACGGCTCTGTAACGACTTTCTTCGCCGTACATGCTGATTTATATACGTGGTCTCCGGCGTCAGGGTGAGTTGGCGGTGGAATGTCCTGATCCGATCAGATGAGTCATCAAACCACGCAGAAACCCACGAGCATGATACGGGCACGCCGTGCTTTGCCTTGCCTTGCTTTGATTTGCCTTGCTTTGCTTTATGTGCAGCGCTTCTAGAGTTTATGTCTTATCGGCAGCGCTTACATCGTTTGTAGCGCATGCTCTAACGTTTTTAAAGTGCGTGCAGCCCTTCCATCCACTTAGCAAATGGATGGAAGCTACTCTTGATGAACCTCGAGGCTACTGCAAATGCGAAGGGCAAGTTTCCGCCCCTTTGCTTCCTGCTGCCGTACCTTGTCGTACTTTGCAGCCCTTACGTCTGGGATGGCGTGAGCCCGCAGACAGGCTATCACCAGATGGCGGTGGTGGGCTACAACGACACAGGGTAAGGACAGCAGACTGCATGTGTGTGTGTGAGTGAGTGTGTGTGTGTGTGTGTGTGTGAGTGTGTGTGTGTGTGTGCGTGAGTGTGTGTGTGTGTGTGTGAGTGTGTGTGTGTGTGTGAGTGTGTGTGTGTGTGCGTGAGTGTGTGTGCGTGTGTGCGTGTGTGTGTGTGTGAGTGTGTGTGTGTGTGAGTGTGTGTGTGAGTGTGTGAGTGTGTGTGTGTGTATGTTACATGGTTGGGGGCGCGTGACCCCATACCTGTAAAACTACCCATATGAGCCGAAGGCCCAACGGCAAATACCAAAACGCCTAAAAGCCATGCATGCGTTTTTCCTGCTCCATAAGGGTCGCCTCCGTGCATTTGCTTGGGACAAAAAGGTGGCTAAGCTGATTGTGTTTGCTGGTGGGTACTTAGGTGATGACAAGCTCACAAGAACCAGGCTTACAGGCATCACGCCAAATCTACGTAACCGTAGGTTACCTTGCTTTGTCCATAACACGGAAGCCCATCATGCATGTACTTGCACTTCCCCAAAACATGTCTTACCTGCGTGTCAGGGGCGTGTTATGTGCCGGCAGGCTTTTCCGCCTGTAATGATTAATGAAGTGCGTTAACGGCGCGTGTGCGCGTGTTAATTATCGGGGGATGCACCGCCACGATGATGAGTCAGTAGTCCATTTCCATTTTTGTACGGACGCGCCGTCAACCGTTCCGTTGCCAACACATCGATAAGCACCCGGGTACCAACTTAACGCGTTACGATTTTGTTTGGCTCTAAGAGAGAGAGAGAGAGAGAGAGAGAGAGAGAGAGACTTTACACAGTTTTTTAAATCTTTTTTTGTTGCTGTACCCAGTGTTGCTGATCTTTCCTTTGTACGGTTTGGAACAGACACGCGCTCCAAAGTGCATGCCACGCCAAAAGTGATACAGTAAGTAAGCGTTATGAGTAAACAAAATCCAGTGCAGCAGGCAGCTCATGTACGAATCCTGCCCATGTTTTCCACCTATAAGCGCCGCCCGTTCTCCCCTCGGGCGTCCCGTCATTTTGTCCCATCCCTTCCGTACAGTTCGTACTGGATCGCCAAGAACAGCTGGGGCACCGGTTGGGGCGATAAGGGATTTTTGCTTATGTCGTACAATGCAAATGTCAGCTTCATGTCAGGGGTTGGCGATAACATCATTGGTTTACTTTGGTTGCCACCGCCTCCGCCACCACCATGGCCGCCGTCACCACCTTCGCCGCCGGCTCAACCTTCACCACCGCGCCTTCCACTGCCGCCGCCACCATTGCGACCGCCGCACCCACGATATCCACAAGCGCCGCCGCCGCCATCACCCTCCATTTCCCCGCCACCACCATCACCGATGCCGTCACCACCGCCGCCATTGCCCTCACCGCCGCCGCCATTGCCGTCACCGTCGTCCGTACAGCTGCGCCCGTCGCCCCCGTCAGCCCCCAGACCGCAGAAAGGTGTCCGTGATCCGCCTTCGCCGCCACCTACATTCCCGCCCTCCCCGTCATATCCCAAGCCGCCGTCGCCGCCACCATCAAGGGTCCGTCGGCGCCTGCCCCCGCCGCCGCCACCGCCGCCTCCACCGCCGCCTCCCTCCCCCTCGCCGCCGGCCCCACTTCCGTTCTGTGGTGACGGCTCCTGCTCGGCTGGGGAGACGTGCGTCACGTGCCGCCTAGACTGTGGGGCGTGTCCGGTGTGCGGTGATGGTCTGTGTTCAGGTAATTGCGATTGTGCTAAGGCGGTGTGATGGGTGTGGTGTGATTTCCCATCACAGCTGGATGTAGACAGGCACGCACAGGTTCAAATTCGCAGTCTCATCATTACGACATTAAGCAGAAAGCATTTCACGTCAGAACCGCTTGCCGATTCTGTACCACATCAGATTTTATAGATTTAATGAATATAAAAAGGCACATTTGCAAAATGGGAGAGGTCCTTGAACTCGTAAATGTTGCCCCTCCGTAGATGTCTTTACGGGTTTTAGGGAAATAGGAGCCTTCCAACAGGGGCTTTAACGGACAACTAACTGCTGCTTAATAAAACATTAGAAATCGTGTTAATAGATAGATCCTAAGTACCTTAGTTTATGGCATCCCTTTGGGAGATGCACCATACAGAATGGCAAAGCACAACAAGCAACCTGGTGCTTGCGGAGGCGAACCCTTCCGTGAGAACTACAAGGACAAGATTTGACCTGCTGATCTGCATGAGGCACTAGTTACATGCCTTTACATGCTACTCTGCACAACCATCCTCTGTTGTGCAGAGTGTTTACCG